ATAAACAAGTATTTACATATACGCGACATAATTTATATGTATACTAATTTGACAGTTACAAAATACTTTAACTGTTATATTTACTTAGAAATAATGCTAGATATATGAGCGAATATAATAATTCTGTACACGATATTTCTGGACACGAATTCAGTTTAGATGTTCATTTGATGATAGCCCAAAGGACACTAATAACAGATTTGTGTATGTTTCTGTATATTATGTGAATTATTGACAATGTATAATGTAACTGGAGAAATAACGAATTTCGAATAGCCATTAGCACATACAATATGTACATGTTAGCACATACAATATTTACGTTGCGAAAATTACATATATAAACTGTACGACAAGTATTCAGCTATCACCCGTACGACACATGTATATAATAAATTAATAATAATCAATTAATATTAAATATTCTTACATAACAATATACACTATTTATTTACTTTAATAATGTGGTGTGTATATATTAATTAATTAATTAATGTTATCAAAGTAATAATTCTATTTTATATGAATATTTTAATTAAGTTTTGAGAAATTCAGTTATAAATTATATTTTAAACTTCCATTTAATTATATTTTGAACTACAGTTTGCAGTATACAAGAACTCGCGCAGTACAGACATAAGTCGTAGAACTTAAGGGAATGCTATATTTAAAAATTTCACCGAAAAATACTGGCTTTCTCCTTTTAAATTTTATTCACTATGTTAAATAATTTTGATACCTATTCTTATTTTTTATATTTGATGTATATATATTTTCATTTTTAACTACCATAAGATATTATAACTGAAAATCATTCTCATATTCTGTTTTGATACAAATTTTTTAAAATATAGGGAAAAGTTTAAACAAAAATTTATTTCTTTAAAGTTCTTATGATGTTATTTTATCAATGTTTGATATGCTACTGTTATTATAAAATATTGCTTTTAATATTGCTTAATATGCTTAATAGTGTAAAATATTACTTATAATATTTTATAATAAATTAACTTCTTTCTTCCTTTCTTTTAATAGTGTGCTGCGTCAGTAGGTTGATTCGACCTGTGGTATTTGATAAAAGAATGTTTAGATGATGTTATATTTGCGAATACGCAAATGGCCTAAGAACAACCGGAACTTTTACACATGTGGTATTTACTAAATCGAACGTTTTTATTAAATCGAATGCAAGATATCATCCAAAATTTTAAGATCCACTGCTTTTCTATTGCATCAATATTTTTTGATGAAGACCAGATTGCTTTTACGATAAATCCATGCAGTGACGATAATTCAGCTTTGCCTCTTTTTTCCTCGTGGTTCCCAACTGAGATTTTATTTAAATCAGTTAGGTAGAACTTTTTATTATGTTTCTTCCTTTCAACTTGATTTGTACGATTGATTTTTAAATTGCTTGTTTGCGATAACTTAGAATTTAAAAAACAGGAATTCTTGTCACATTCGTTTATTGCACACTGATTACGAAGATCAATTAATGCATGTGCAATAAAACCAATGTTATTTGGATGCAGGGAGGACCAAAATATCTGTCTGTTAACAATCGGTGTTTAGGGAAGATTGGGTTTCGAACAATCTTATAAGAGAGCATGGGAAAAATATCGAGAATATGAGAAGTGTACGTTAAGAACAGATTTACGATATAATAAAAATGTAAGTTTCCTAAATTGGTATTTCCTTCTTTTAAATAACAGTTGTTTAGATTTGTATTTTTAACCATGTTGTATACCATCACGATAATCTCCGTTAAAATAAATATTATACATAAGTACATATGCTGATGTTACATATGAAATATGATGATGGTGACTCTACAAGATGTTGAAAAAATCGCATTTCGAAAATTAAAATGTTTCTTTTAGACGCCCTATAAGTGTCCGAATCAAATCAAACCATACTTGTTTGAACTTTCTTAAGATATTTTATTTTCCATTCTTTTTTAAAGCCATGGCTCTTCTCGTTTCAAAGAAAAAAATTTTTTTTTATTTTTTAGCTTGACGACATAATTCCCGAACCACGTGGTAACAGAAGTTAACATAATATGTAATTTAATATTGGATTATGGTGTAACATGTGTGAAAATGAACCCTATATTGCTGGAGGCATCCTGCCATACAAATAGGCCATGGCCTTTAACCGTTTGAAGCATATATTTTACCTTTTATACGAATTTCTTCAAACTTTTTATACAAGAGATTTAGGGGTCGCTGATTACGAATATGGAGTCAAATTTTTAAAATTTTCAAAATTCAATATGGCGGACCGGACATGAAAATGTAAAAATGATCCCGATCAATAAAAAGCATGTATTCAGGGAAAGTAAAAAGATGGAACAAGAAACTCCCTACGTCCTCATCGTCCTTAGTTCTGAGTAATGCTAATTGCGAGATTTCTTAGAGATTTTCTATTTGCCATCATGTTTGACTGCAATTTTGAATATTGTAATTGTCAACATATTCGTAATTAGCTACCAAAACTTTTTAACCTAAAGTTACATACAAATCAAATCACCTTCTGACCTCCAATACAAATTATGTGGTCTCAAAAATCTATGACTCTATTACCTAACAAATAGAATATTGTTACCTAACAAACAACATAATTTCACTAATTGTTACATAATAATTCATTCAATACTAGGAACATAAATGTGTGATTAAAGTTATATTGGCTTATTGAACAATATGTAAAAATCATAAAAATCCGAGTAGGGACAGGAGCCATATGAGTATTGCACTATGCCGGAAAGAGTTAAAAATAATATTTTATAACATTTTAAAAATATTAGAAGAATCTAACTTGACTATATATATACAAGTTATAATAAACATTAGTAAGTCTTTCTGTGGGAATCTCTTTTCTAAATTTTAAGAAGGTAAGAAAGTAAAGACAACAAAACTTAAAAGTGAATGTATGTTTTATCAACGAAGTGATTATTTATTCGTGAATATTATGAAATTTAATAAAGAATATAATATAATAAAGAATAATGTTGAGAAATTGCGGAAACAATTATAACTAAGTTGCAAATACAATTATGTTCAAGTAGAATATAAAATCACAATGAAAATCAAACTAACGAGAAAATAATCAGATCTTGATTTTCTGTTCAGCTTAGATACATTTTGGCGTACCAGCTTGGCTGAAGAGCCAAGTCTTAAGACCGTTGATACTGTAACATATGTGAGGCATTTATCAACAGCCGTATAAAATTTTTTTCGTATAACATAAATTTAATATAAACGTTCCTAAGGCAGAGCGATACAATTATTAATGCTGTGACCATTCGAACTTGTTAGAGTAGAAAAGGAAAGTATAATAAGTAAACGTAACCTCGAAACCGTTCCCAAACTGAAAAGAATTCTGAACGCTGTTACATATTTACTGAATTTCTTGTTGTCTCGTTTGTATTATATAAATTCAGAAGAACACAACTAAATGAGTATTACGATAAGAAATCTCACCAGTCTCGTAATTTCTGTATGGTTTATAACTCCGAAATTTATTTTCTATAGAACGATGTTCTCTAGGAACATTCATGACTTCTTGAATCTTCTTTATGCTCTCTTCTGCTTTATTTTGTGACGCAGTTGTGAAAAAAAACGGACATGTACGATCTTGTGTTTTGATGAAAATATCTAACATTGGACTCCCCATACTAAATTCTGCTTGAAGTGCAATAATGATATTTGCTTGCTTATACAAATTTGTGCGAATATATTCCTCATATGACACACTTGCATTTCCAAGATATAGCTGCTTATTTGTTCGGACGCATTCTCTGCAAACATCGTAATATTCATTCCTGTCACAATCCGTTTCTGGTACTACCAATATAACTCTTAATTCCATAATTTTATTTTTCGAAAATTTATGTTTATTGAAAATATGTAAGAAAATCTCCCATGATGATAAGCCCATTATATCTGCTGAACTCGCACCTATGATATGTACGATGAAGAAAAAACTTTTGTGACTGTTAATAAGTTTATATTCTTCTCTATAAATCTGTGCTTGTTCAAATATATTTGCGAATTCCTTTAATCCGTACAATAGAGTCAGTGGAGCTGATATTAAATTCGACAACATGTAACAATACTTACTCCAAGCTCCCGTGATTAAATAGCGTTTATGAATGTATTGATTAACAAACGTAATCATGTCATAAAAATCTATTGTTATTTGGGCAAGCTTCATTTCTGGTAGATACGTATTTATATGATCGTTGCATACTTTTAAAATATTGAAATTTAGGAATACCAATAACTCCTTGCACATTGAATCGTGTTTTTCTTTAAAATCCCATTGGTGCTCGTCGCAATAATTGGCGGAATAGCAGGTCCTGCAAGTTCGCAGGCTAATCTGTTGATGACAAATGAGACATGATTTTGCGCACATTATCATCTCTTTCTCGTACGGCTTTAGATCACGTGTCATTTTCACCTGAATTCCTTGCATAAATGTCTTTCGAGATGACCTCCATTCATCATCTGAGTTAAAAGAACTAGCGTTTGATTCCAAGTCTCCTGTTCTTGCAAATATAATAACTATACAGATTTCCATATGCGAACTTTGATGCATTATTTGATGCTCTTTGGAACAATAAAAGACCATGTCGCATGAACCACATGGCATTAATTCTTGACTTGGCCTCTTGCAGACATGACAGATATTAGGATTGAAAAACTGACTATAAATATTTTCTGCGAATAATCCTTCGCATATAAACAAGTATTTACATATACGCGACATAATTTATATGTATACTAATTTGACAGTTACAAAATACTTTAACTGTTATATTTACTTAGAAATAATGCTAGATATATGAGCGAATATAATAATTCTGTACACGATATTTCTGGACACGAATTCAGTTTAGATGTTCATTTGATGATAGCCCAAAGGACACTAATAACAGATTTGTGTATGTTTCTGTATATTATGTGAATTATTGACAATGTATGATGTAACTGAAGAAATAACGAATTTCGAATAGCCATTAGCACATACAATATGTACATGTTAGCACATACAATGTTTACGTTGCGAAAATTATAATACATGTAAACTGTACGACAAGTATTCAGCTATCACCCGTACGACACATGTATATAATAAATTAATAATAATCAATTAATATTAAATATTCTTACATAACAATATACACTATTTATTTACTTTAATAATGTGGTGTGTATATATTAATTAATTAATTAATGTTATCAAAGTAATAATTCTATTTTATATGAATATTTTAATTAAGTTTTGAGAAATTCAGTTATAAATTATATTTTAAACTTCCGTTTAATTATATTTTGAACTACCGTTTGCAGTATACAAGAACTCGCGCAGTACAGACGTAAGTCGTAGAACTTAAGGGAATGCTATATTTAAAAATTTCACCGAAAAATACTGGCTTTCTCCTTTTAAATTTTATTCACTATGTTAAATAATTTTGATATTCTTATTTTTTATATTTAATGTATACATATTTTCATTTTTAACTACCATAAGATATTGTAACTGAAAATCATTCTCATATTCTGTTTTGATACAAATTTTTTAAAAGATAGGGAAAAGTTTAAACAAAAATTTATTTCTTTAAAGTTCTTATGATGTTATTTTATCAATGTTTGATATGCTACTGTTAGTATAAAATATTGCTTTTAATATTGCTTAATATGCTTAATAGTGTAAAATATTACTTATAATATTTTATAATAAATTAACTTTTTTCTTCCTTTCTTTTAATAGGGTGCTGCGTCAGTAGGTTGATTCCACCTGTGGTATTTGATAAAAGAATGTTTAGATGATGTTTTATTTGCGAATACGCAAATGGGCTAAGAACAATCGGAATTTGTTCACATGTGGTATTTTATTAAATCGGACGTTTTTATTAAATCGAATGCAAGATATCAACCAAAATTTTGAGATCCACTGCTTTTCTATTGGGAGTATAAATAAGTCTTCGCCGTTTTTTATCAAAAATTGGGCATTTATTCTGAAAGGACGGTACCTTATGTTTTATTCAAAGTATTGTCCATCGCTAGCCACTACTTTTTCCCATATTTCTGGCAGCATACGGATACCGCGTCGGAAAAACGCTTCATCTCTTGAGGCTATCCACGAATCGACCCAATTTTTGGTACCTTCATATGATGTGAAGTGCTGCTCAGACAGGCCGTGCGTCATCGATCGAAACAAGTGATAGTTAGTGGGAGCAATGTCTGGTGAATACGGCGGGTGGGTTTAAACTTCCCAATTGAGTGTTTCCAAGTAGGTTTTGACCGGCGCCGCAACATGTGGACGAGCATTATCATGCAGAAGAATAATTTTGTCATGTCTGGAGTAGTAGTGGGCACGTTTTTCCTTGAGTGCTCAGCTCAATCTCATCAACTGTGTTCGGTAGAGAGCCCCAGTAATGGTTTCGTTCGGTTTGAGCAACTCATGATACACGACACCAAGCTGATCCCACCAAATACACAACATGAGTTTTTTTCCATGAATATTCGGCTTGGCTGTTGATGTTGAAGCATGACCACGTGGTCCCCATGATTTCCTCTTCTTTGTATTATCGTAGTGTCCATTTTTCATCACCAGTGACTATACGATGCAAAAAACCCTTTCGTTTATACCTGACAAGCAGCATTTCACATGTGCAAAATCGGCGTTCAACGTTTCTCGGCTTCAGTTCGTATGGAACCCAATTTCCTTGCTTTTAAATCATTCCCAACGATTTTAAATGATGTGAAATTGCTTGTTGAGTCACTCCTAATGTAAGTGCAAGTTCTTCTTGCGTTTGGCACGAATCTTCCTCCAATAATGCTTCCAATTCCGCATCTTCGTACACTTTCGGCCTTCCGCTACGTTCTTTGCCTTCGACATCAAACTCACCGTTCTTAAACTTTTGAAACCACTCACGATAACTTCTCTCGCTTAAAGCAGCCTCACCATATACTTCTACAAGCAATCGATGGGCCTCAGCTGCAGATTTCCTCAAATTAAAGAAGTAAATCCAAAGTTCCCGCAAATGACGCTTATTCGGCTCAAAACTCGACATTTTTGCACGAAAAAAATTATGTAATGCTGATACAAAATCGCTAATATTTCAAGGTTATAGTGTTGCCAGATGTCCAACCTTACGATATGACGTTTTATATCTGATTTCAACCATAACTTACTGGTGGGGCCATCTTTTGCAAACGGCGGAGACTTATTTGTACTCCCAATATTTTTGATGAAGACCAGATTGCTTCTACGATAAATCCATGCAGTAACGATAATTCAGCTTTGCCTCTTTTTTCCTCGTAGTTCCCAACTGAGATTTTATTTAAATCAGTTAAGTAGAACTTTTTATTATGTTTCCTTCTTTCAACTTGATTTGTACGATTGATTTTTAAATTGCTTGTTTGCGATAACTTAGAATTTAAAAAACAGGAATTCTTGTCACATTCGTTTATTGCACACTGATTACGAAGATCAATTAATGCATGTGCAATAAAACCAATGTTATTTGGATGCAGGGAGGACCAAAATATCTGTCTGTTAACAACCGGTGTTTAGAGAAGATTGGGTTTCGAACAATCTTATAAGAGAGCATGGGAAAAATATCGAGAATATGACAAGTGTACGTTAAGAACAGATTTACT